GGTACGTTTGCAATTGCACCTGACAATTCCATTTAAATTTATTAGTCACTGAGCAGCGTGTCTGCACGTGAGCTTAAGAAATATATTACTCCTGTGATCACCCAATGGGCCAAAGCAAGCGAGAACGTGGTTGCTGTAGTCCAACGTAACTCAAGCAATGCAGAAACGAAAGAAAAAACTAGCAATTCTCGTGAAAACGTGTTGGAATATGTACATACTCGAAAATTGGGCTGTTCGGTAACAGCCATAATCACACTGCACGTAATATAGAAGCATATGTATCCGAAAATTTTACAAAAGGATTATTTTCCAACGTATTTTTACTTGTGCTGCTTTATCCACTCTGTGGTTTTTGCATGAACAGGCTTCCTCTACATGTAAAACTCAAGTTTACCTAGTACACCCAATTTTCACTTTTCGGAATTTTCCACTTGCTAAAAAAGCTGCTTTTGCTATAAAAACTTTATATTCCTTCATAAATCACAATATGCCATATTGTGAAGAACGACCATAACTTTATTGCTGTAAGACTTTGGGAGCCGCAGCTTGGGCTGTGTTTGAAAAAGAGGGAGTTACTTGTAAAAATCCTTGTATTTTATGAGTTAGGTAACCTTCTGTATATATATACGCTTTAAATATAATTCCAAAATTTTCAGCAAACACGTTCTTTGTTCACCGTGAACAAAATTAGACACAGAATTCACATAACGCTGGGAGATCATAAACCATGCATGGTGGCCGAATACTGCAATCGCCAACCTCATGACGTATCGTTGCAAAATTTAGGCAAAATTGGACTTCCTTAAAAACGATGCTAGCTTCGTGCGCTAATGACCTTATTGTTGTAGTCCGAATAAACAAGGACGGATAAATCGGTTTATAATGAATGCAGTAGGCCAACCACTGTGTATTTATCGGTTGGTTTCATGGAAAACCAATCACTGAGCGTGATTGCACCGTTTGTTTTGAGTTTTACCGGACTCTTGCTCATTTAGGTAGGCAAATGTTTCATTTAACTGGCTGGACATGTCTTATACAAAATTTGGTCGTGTATATAAGAAATTTACACGCGAATGGAGAACAGTAAAAATGGTGGCTCGGTTTCAAAAGCTGGCACAGTTTTTTGTGCGTTAAATTATCTTAACCAAATCTTTCCCCTCTTTTTCTCGTAGATTCAATTATCGTCTCTCAATGGTTCGGGTGTTTCCCTGGCGCAGCCCTAGCCATGCGCCCAGATGGATCAGTTGTCCCTCTCTCTCAAATAAAGATTGGCGATACACTTTTGACCTATGATCTGAACAAGCATGCTATTCAGCCAACAACAGTGATCTCTTTCCTCCACCGAGATGAGCACCAGTTTTCTGCCTGGATCAAGATCACTTTCGAAATGCCCAGTCAGCAAGTTTCTAGTCTCCTTCTCACTGCAAATCATCTCATCTATCGGCGTTTATCAAGAAACACCGAGACCGCCGATGTAACTTCTGTCTTTGCTAAGGAAATCGTACCGGGCGATTTTATTCTATGCAGCACTAACCCCGTGGAAGCTTTCTGTGAAGTTGTCAAAGTAACAGAAGAGAATGGAACCTTGGCCGGAGGCAGCATCGGAGTCTACGCCCCGTTAACGTCCTCGGGTACTCTGCTTGTGGATGGAGTTCTTGTTTCATGCTACGCCCACGTCCGATACGAGTGGCTTGCAAGATTAGCCACTTTTCCGCTGCGGATCTACTATTTTCTAATGAGCCAGATGAGCCTTGCGAATCCGTCCTGGCCTGTGGAGCACGGAGTTCACTGGTTTGCGGAACTACTCCTCCACTTCTCGAAGTTTATTTTGCCTGAAACCATTTTCTTCAACTAGAGTCAGGCTTCCTTATTCGGCGCCGCTGACAGAGCTCCTGGCTTTGGATTCTGAGCCTCTCATCTGGCTGGTGTTTTAACTAACAATGTGCATGCTTCTACCTCCGAAACTGATGTTTTACCTCGCCGTGGCACAATTTTTCATATTTCTCTTCCGGACTTCTGCCAACTTTGGTTACTTCGCTCTTCCTGAAGTTCCGGTTGGAGAAAACAAGTTCTGAACAAGAACCTACGTAGCAATACGCTGGCACAAAACAAACACCGAGATTCACAGGATACCCGAGTCTGTATAGGCGCAAACAATAATAATTATGTCTCTAATATGGCAGGAGTTGATCCTGTGGAGAAACATACGACAGTAAACAAGCATTTTGCAATATTTTTCATCATTACTCGATAAAATCGGTCATAAACCATCCCACAGACACTCTTCACTTTCTCAGCGGATGACACGTTATTTTAATGTAAATTCACCATTTCTTGAACAAGAGATTTCACATGACTTTTTTTTATTCCGTTGTCTCTTAATTTTGAGAATTAAGTGTTGGTTATAAAGGCTTGCCTCCATTGAAAATTCTGGTATGTGACTGTGAACCAATTTCCTGTAGATACGATAACTTATCAAAACTATAGTGTCGTTTTCTTCAACCATGGGGCCGCATAAACGTATGAAACGATTGCAGAAGACATTCAATGTACTTTCATAGAACCATATTGAAAAGCGCTGAACTCAGTTCAACAATAGTTCTCACAACCTAATATTTCGAGTCTTCGATGAAACTTTTGCCTGTACCTAGTGCCACTTCACTCTGGAAAAATCCTATTTTATATCAACAAACAATACAACAGAGGCCATTGCCTTTTTAAAAAAATCCTGTCTCGGTGACGATAAGTTTTTGAAAGTGCAAGTTACATTTGTTTGAAAGGATAAGCATTTATGAATTTAAATTGACTGCCTTTTTCTGTTTATACCGGGTAAGTTGAGAGAGTTTTCTTATTTTTTTTCATAGTCAGCTTGATGTTTCATCATATATCAATGCTTTGAGTTTCATTTTGTTCCACTCTTATAATGCGGACGGGGGGCGGCATTTTTTTTCGAGGGACGCATGTGTCCCCTAAATAGGTGTATCTAGGTCTGCAAGTCAGGATGGGGAAAATATATACGACGCAGGATATTTTAATCTAAACTATTTACTGGCTTCATATGTGTATTCAAGCCTAGAAACATAAATTCCTTTCAAAGGAACATTGACATTACCTTTTAAAATATTATCTAGCAAAATAATTGGCATCCTACAAGTGTCGAACAGGACGGTAACACGCTGTTTTTAAATGCGTGCTTTCGTCGATGGCTCGAAAAATGTTTATCGGAAGGCCAACATAACAGGACGCGCGACTTTAGCCACAGTTTCCCCGTACTTGTCCTCTTGGCGATGCAGCCCGATCATGATCACCCCATAAATGCACGGTCCTCGGTTTTTTCATTTTCATACGTTTCAGTAAATCTCGTTCAGCAGAGTCGTCCATCTCATTGCTGGACAACAACACTCACAGAATATACCGCATCAATAGGCGTTGCGACATTTCAGACTCAACTTTACAGGGAAACAAGGCACATAAATCAAGTGATAAGGAAGCCCTTCTGCTTAGAATTTTCGTCAGACCATTTGTCTAACTATAAATCTAGCATCCTACCGGGTCGGTGCGATTACCTATGGCGATAGGAACAATGTGTATTAGGGGCCTCTTTTTCACTGGCATGGCATTTTGAAGCGATTTAGATTCACCTTTAGGAGAAAGGGCAACTTCCTAAGAGGATTCACTTGACTTCGGAGGTTTGCATACAGGCTTCATGATGGGAACGCGAGTCCGAAGAATAAACCTATCTTACGCCAACAGCAGTAGATCGCACTTCTGTCAAAAGACATGTGAAGCAACAAAACGCGAGGCAGTGTTCTCGCGACTATTTCGACTTGCTCTTGCTTTTTATTCCCCAAAGTAGAGGAAGAAGAAGAAGAAGAAGAATCCAACGGCGCGAACTTCTCCTAACGTTCGAGTTCAGGCCTTAAAATATCTCAGATCGAGGGCATTGCTAGCAAAGACAAGGAAGACAGGAATGGCAATTTCTAGTTCATTAGCCATCATCAGCCAGCCATACTCAACCTCAAGTGGTGCACCACCCGAGGCTCGAACCCGCGACCTTTCAGGTCAGAAGTCCATCACTCTAACCACTGAACCATGAGCTCGCTGTTTTGCCAGTCTATGTCGGGGATATTGATGAACTTTCACCGATCGCTAACGGAATTCACTGGTCTCGCCCCGCCAGCAACCGCACAGCGACTACTATTTTAGGCAGATAGCATTTCCGCCAAAGACAAAGGATCGGCGAACGTTCATCAAAGAGTATCAATATTTCCTATCTAAACCGATAAAACAACGAGCCCTTGGTTCAGTGGTTAGAATGTCGGGCATCTGATCAAAATATCTTGTGTTCGAGCCTTGGATGATGCACAAATCGGGGTTGGTAGGACTGCTGATGACAGCTAACGAACCATAAATGGCAATGCCAGTCTCCCCAGTCTTTGCCGGCAAAATTTTAGCCGCTATTGGTGGGGCTCGAGAATGAGCCCGAACGCAGAGCGGAAAGAGGAAGTTCCGTTAGCAATCTGTGAACGTTCACCGACGAAAATTCCAGGTTCTAAAATCCGTCCTAAAATTTCTTGGCGACCAGCGAGAGCAGCAACCATTTTATTCGTAGAAGGGCGAAGTGGTTAATGTGATTCGCTGTTTCCGTACCATACAGGTCTTTGAAATATGTGAAATGAAAAATAATTCCAATGGTGTTGTCTACGAATGTGGCTTTGTACAAGCTGATCACCACTTGGATTCATGGAGAAGCTGACGTTAGGTCTAAACACTGAAAATTTGTTTATTTTGCGTCGAAATTGGCTGCATATGCTAACGCATAATTAGACATGAATGCTATTTGAGAAATAAAAATCGATAGTTAAGCAGTTTTGGCCCTAAGTATTTACAATGATATTATGATCCAGAAGTTGCCAGAATGTAAGCATATTGCAGATTGTGATCCTATCCTTCAGGTGCTAGCAGCGAACTGTGATTTCAAGGTCGAATGTTCTAACATTTCTGTTACTGTTTCTGCTAATTTCCCTGAAAGAGGATCCGCGATGGATTTCGAAACGTCGGGTGAACAAAATTCTAGTCCCAGCGATTACATCTTGTTTTCTAAAGTTTGCTAAGCTGAGTAGAAGCAGTGTGGCTGATAAAAGAAAAAAATGCATTAAAAATCAATGATAATTACGGAATGGTTGTTTATGGAATGACCATATGCCTAGTTATCCCTGCTGGGAGCCGACAAGATAGCAACAGCAATTTCTCCTTTTTTCCATAGGGAAAATGAAGTCCACGCCAACCTAGAAGTTTGGGTGAATTAAATCCCCCTCCAGACTTCACCGTCCAGCATTGTAAAAATTAGAGCCGACAATAACGATAATAATCTGCATAGATTTGTTTAGAGATGCCCTCTAACGAATATAAAGTTTAACTGCAGGTTGAACATATTATAGTATAATGTGGGCTGAAAGGAAACTTCCAAGTTCGTCTAGAAAGAGTTTTGTACCCATCTCAATTAATTTTTCTTTATTTATTTCATATCGACATTTTCAAGAGGAATTTTTATGCACAGACAACTGTGCTCTAGGTTACGACTGTGTCGAGCTCAGTACCCGATTGCGTGCGGACCAATGAAGCGACTTTTGAAAAATCATACACGACTTCGAAAACGTCCTTTTTTTAACTTACTTCCATTCGTTAAATATTGAGGCGCGGAGCTAAGACCTAAGCTCTACTGTGGGAGTTTCACCAGCGGGTTAGAACGGAGATGGACAAGTAGCTGCTATGCCCGATGATAACTGTCCCTTCCAAAATGTCCACTTAACTAGAACATTTGTTGCCTGAAAAACCTTTGTTTTTACATTTCCTGTTTTTTGATGCAGGTAGCGTAATCTGTGCTTGAAATACGCGTGGTTTACTTGTACTCAGGAGTAAATAGTGTTGGTTTAGAAAGAAGGCATTGAAATGGTGTGGTCAGGAGACTATTTTGAGCATATAGACACGGGGAACTCCGGGGCGGTAGAATCCTCGTGCCTCGAAACCGTTCCAAAGGAAAATCGAAAAATCAACTCTCCATACATGATGAAAATGCCTTCAGTAGCCTTTATTTCTTGTTTTACTTGTCTGACAAACTTGCTATCTTTTGAATTATCAGCCTAGGAAGGGAAAAACACGACCAGTTAAGCAAACCATGTTGGGCCATTGCAATATTTGCTTCAAATGCCCATATAAATAAAAAGAATAATGGCTTTTCTAAACTTCAGCTACATTCTATAACTCGTTAAAGTAGATGTGAATAACTTTTTCGACGCTGAATTCTAATCAAGCCACCTACCGTAGTACAGTACGACCTTGCATTACGCGGTTAACAGTGTGATTCTGCTTCATCCAATTAAACCACATCAGGTGAATGCAGATGAAACAAAAAAATACGTCTACTATGGAATGTAAGTAAGCATGTTTGGTGGTCATTTATTAACTCTCTTAAAATTGTTCGCTATCCGACACTAGCACTAAACGCTCCAGGAGTTTACACTACAATTGACCTCTCCTTCGCCTAATTTTAGTATTTAATTACAAAAGGGCAACTACTTGCCCAAATTGGACAGCTAGACTGGCTGATGACATGATAAGCCAGGAATGGCAGTTCCGATCTCCCTTGTGTTTGTCGGTTCCTGTCTATCTCCGTACACATTGCGGTCCTTATTTGATGTAAATCCACAACCTTCGCACGAAAACCATTATGGCGCGCAAACCGTATACCCCGCGGCCCCGCAAGTTATATTGCCTTAAAGAAATGACCGCTTTTTAAAAAAGGCGGCATCGTTTGATTTATAACGTTAATATACATTAAATGAAACGGTAAAG